TTAAATGTTACATTTTTCCGATCTTACTATATGGTGTGGAAGCCTGGACGCTGACAGAGATGCTCACGAGAAAACTGAAAGCATTCGAAATGTGAATGTACCGACGCATTCTTCGTATATCCTGGACCGAACATGTCACCAACATAGCGGTAATCCAAAAAATCGGAAAGGAAAAAGAAATCGTGAGCACAATAAATAAAGACAGCTTGAATATCTAGGCCACATATTGAGACACGATAAGTATCATCTACTGCAATTGATTGCCCATGGGAAAATAGACAGTAAGCGAGGGCCAGGCAGGAGAAGACACTCGTGGCTCCGAAATCTGCAGAAGTGGTTCGGGCTCACATCGGTCGAATTATTCAGAAGCGCCGTAAACAAGATCAGAATTGCCATATTAATAGCCAAAGTTCGCAACGGACAGGACACTTGAAGAAGAAGAAGATATATTGCCTGTCAAATTATATGCAAAAATAGTGATCAAATATTATACTTATTTGATCATTATTTATTATTATTGCATTAAAAATTATTATTGCATTAATGCAATAACAATTTTTGTTGGAAATATAAACTGGAGCGCAAAATTAACCGGACACTCAGATTTTTTTGTTTTTTGTTTGTGTTTAGATGACAACTTGTTTAATTTGTTTGAATTTTATTTTATGCCTTATTAGCGATAACTTTTTTTCTTGCTTGAACCTGTTTAGAAGATTTGTTGTGAACAACAACACTTTTACACATACGTTTTGATATTAATGTGAAATAGTGGCTTAATATTAATTTAAGTTTATTGTAGTACTGTACCAAACAAGCGAGCTGAAAAGAAGAATAAACCTCGCTTGGGCTGCATTTGGAAGGATGAAGGATATTTTTAGGTCTAAGAATCCAATGTGTCTAAAAAGAAAAGTATTTAATCAATGTATTTTGCCAGTGATGACCTACGGCGCAGAAACCCTAACGCTCACAAGAACAACAGTGAGTAAACTACAAGTTGCGGAAAGAGCAATGGAGAGAATTATGTTAGGGATTTCTCTACGTGATAGAATACCCAATGCTACTATACGCAAAAGATCAGGAGTAGCAGACGTTATTGAAAGGATAACAACACTAAAGTGGAACTGGGCAGGTCATGTAACAAGATCAGTTGATGACCGGTGGACAAAAAGAATTTTGGAATGGAGACCCCGAATACAAGCTTACAGAAATAGAGGTCGACCCCCAACGAGATGGACAAATGACATAAAAAGAGTGACTACAAATTGGATTCAGATGGCGCAAAATCGGACTAAGTGGAAAAGCATGCGAGAGGCCTATGTTCAGCAGTGGACGTTAGAGGCTAGTTGATGATGATGATAAGTACTGTACCTGATTATAAGTTCGGCTGTAGGTTTTTGGATTGTGTCCTGTTCAATAACTGCATTAAAAAAATTATGACACCAGAAGAAATAGCACAAGCTATTGCTTTACAGGATGATGGGCGGAGCATTCATTACATCGCAAATGCTTTAAGAATTTCTCGAAGTATTTGATGCAACACAAAGATTTGGGGAAACTCAAATACAATACACTAGGAGGCCAGGTCAAGGTAGACGAAGAATCACAAGTCAAGTTGAACATCGCTTTCTTAGATTACAAGCGTAACGCGATCGTACATTATCAGCACCAGTACTTGTTCTACGATTAATTTATGTCCATATAAACACAGTTTTCATTTATACCGTTCGAAGACGCTTAAATGAATATGGATTAAGGTCCAGAATACCTGTCACGGGACCTCTATTAACAGTAGGTCATCGGAGGCAACGTTTTGTCTGATGCAAGATAATGCTTGTCCGTACACCGCAAGAATAACACGGTTTACTTGGATGAAGTTAGGATTCGTTTATTACCATGACTCCCAAGGAGAGCAGACTTAAATCCAATAGAGCATGCATAGGATATTCTGGAACGACGTATTCGACGTAATCATGGTGACTTTGAAAGTAGTTCGTGACGAATGGGAGCAAATTCCTCAAGCAGACTTTACTGCCTTAATCCGAAGTATGTCTGATTAAATAAGATCCGTAATTAGGGCTTGTGAAGGTAATACCCTCTACTAAATATCGTTTTCCATAAAAAAATTTTATATATAAAACAAAATTAAATTTCTTTAGAGATTTTCAAATTTTTTGAAGTGTTTGTTGTTATTTCTGAGTACCACTCTTGAGTTGTGATAAATTTGACTTTTAAGTTTTGTTTATTATTAACCTTCGGAGTACGGAGATTATTTGACTTACTTAGATTACGAAGATGGGTCAAGCGTGACCCATTCTCATTCTATTTATAAGGATGTTTTAAATAGTCAATATTATTAAACAGTATCTTTAATTCAACAAAAAAAACAAAGAAACATAAAAATTGTGATCCCAAATTTTTGTATTTAAATTTTTTAAGATGGTTTACCATCCTGGTCTTTTTGGCAGTAGTTGCATTTAATTTTGACAATATGGACTTCTTCGCGTTTTGAATGAGTATTACAAACAAATCTTTTACACATGTCACACCTTTTTGAATATTTATTGTCACTACCCCAACAAGAATAACAACGACCTCGTTTTGTTGCAGATTTCGGCACTTCGATTTGCTTTTTTACACTAACACCGGTGGTCTCTATTGCAGCGATTACGGATTTAGGGTATCCGGTGAGTTCTTCTTGTATTGCTTCCGCTCTTCGTTTTATATTGGGCGAGGTTAATTGTTTTCCAAGCTGCTCCAGAAACAGTTTTCTGCGATGTTTTATATTTACTTGGCTGTTCCATTCAGGATTTTTCGTATTCCAGAGAACAAAAGCATTGTAGCACGCAATATCCAAAAAGTTGAAAAATATACGTAAGGGCCATCTTCTTGTTGCTCTTTTACATGTGTACTCTCTGATCAATTTATCTAAAATATCGACTCCACTTTTGGTTTTGTTGTAATCCAAAATAATGTTTGGTTTAAATTTTTGGTTTTCATCAGAAATTTCATGTTCATTGTGTAAGGTCGATAATAATACAACAAACTTATTAGGCTTGGTTACATATAAAACTAAGGTAATGTTTTTAGTAAACAAAAATTTTGAAGAATACAGTGAGCGATCTGTCATTTTAAGCAATGATTTGGGTAAACTCTTCCTATTTTTTCTGATAGTACCCAAAAGAGTTAAATTTTTGGTTAACAGTTCTTCAGATAAAGCAATATCGGTAAAAAAGTTATCAGTTGTAATATTTCGACCAGACCTATACCAATGTTCTGACGGTGTTTTGACAACTCTTGGGCCTTGGTTACGTTCAGATGGATCACCAATCTTTCCAGTATATATCTCAAAGTTACAGCAATAAAAATTTTCAGCGTCGCATAGGGTCTAAGCCTTTATACCATATTTCTTTGTTTTACTTGGTATATAAATCAGAAATGGATAACGTCCCCTAAAATCTATAAGCTGCTCGTCAATAGTACCAAAAGCAGATGGTTCGTATGATTCCCTACAATTTTGGGCAAATAGATCAGCGATTTCTCGAATAGGAGCTAATTTATCTCGTTCTCTTCTTTCTGTTCTCGTTTCCAAATTCTCAAAGTGAATATGCTTCAAAATACTTATAAATCTATCCCGGCTTAGAGATGCTTTATATATAGGACGCGTAAATGCATTATTTGTATTGGACCATAAATTATGCACCTTCTCATGGGACTCTCTGAACCTTCCACATAATATAAGTATACCAAAAAAAGCACGCAGTAAGACTAGATCAACTTCAATCCAATCCTTCATTTTTTTCTCGTTCTTACTGTTATACGCAGCTATGAACTCAATAGCTCTCTTATTGGTAGACTCAAGAATCATTGACATTATACTATCAGAAAAAAATAAATTGAAGGCTTCCATGCATGTCTCAATATTTTGACTTTTCTTAGTTAGACCTACGTTTTTCTGTAATAAATTACATGCCAATGTCTTACCCTTTTTTGGAGCTAAATAACGCCATGTTCCTCATTCATGTTCCAAACTTCCTCATTCTCGAGTTCAGTAATTGATAAATTACCTTCATATGCTTCTGGCTCACAACCGTCATTATCACTTGCTTCACTATTGCTTTTATCCAGCTCTGCAACATCATCTTCTTCACTATCTGATAGGAGTAAGGCATACAACTCAGCTTCACTCAAAGGTTTATTCTTTTTCCACATTTTGATATAATACTGCACACTTCAAGATCGATGCTTGAATTAAATTGATCAACAAACGTGAAATACCGCTTTACACCAAAGTTAGACCTCTCGTCTCGGACGTTCCCATAGAATATGCCTATTAGACACTACATTACTCCCAAGGTTAACTTCTATCTACTAATATTTCTACAAACATAATCATTTTGCCTTGAATACGTTTACTGGAAAACAGAGACGGCTGCGTTTTACGTGTACCTACAAACACATTGAAAAATTCTTCAAAATCCGAAGACCGGGTCAGGACTGACCCGACATCATAGATTTTACGTAGAGGAAAAACTGCAATTTGCATGTTCACGAGTGATACACGAAAAAATAGATTAAAACAAATAAGGAGAACTTACGAACAATCAGATTTATAAAAAAAATATTTCATGAAATATTAAGAAATAAGTGAATTTCGGGTCACGCTTGACCTAGTCTTCGTACTCCGAAAGTTAGATACTCAATTGGGAACATCTTAAACTTGTTTAAACGCCAGTTTTTAGAACAAATCCGAGTGTTTGGTTAATTTTGCACCCCAGTGTATTATAAAATATTATTATGAATATATTTACGATTTGATTTTTGAAGTTTCGATTTCTACTTCGGAAATCGTTCTCAAAATACAACTAATTAATAAATTCCGTAGTGCAAATTAAAACGTCAAAAATAAACTTATTTTAAACTTAATTTGTGGGTTATTCCCAATAAAAATAGTAATTGCATTAAGTTGTCTCAAGCATATAGCTTCAGAACGGTATACTTACATTACTTCAGTTTGTTTAATTGGCATATTTGACAATACAGTCATATTCGTTCTCCTAGCGACACTAATTTCAAAGGGCGCCCTAAAATATGGTTCATCAAAACATGGAAAAATTCTTCTAGCAGATGTCGGTTGAAGGAGAGTTGTAGCTAGCCATCTAAAAAAAAATGGAATTTGTTAAATACAACTCAGTATTTTTGTTTATTGAACATCATAAGCATTGTTTGCACCTTATAGAGTCACTAGATTAGTGTTTGATTAACATAAACGATGATGATGTGTTAGGAAATGAAATAATTTTGATCGGAATCTTTTATAAAGAAGTATGCTAAACTTTAAGGGTGCATCCTAATAAATCTAAATCGGTTGGATTGTTTTATTTATTGCCAATAGTTTATTTGGGTTTCATATAAATGTTTTTTTGTTAATTAGAGAATTTATTAGTATGGCTTAATATCTGGTTAGAGGTACTATTGTCTTCTGTTGACTTTTAATCTGTATGTATAATTTTGGTATCTGCAGTAGGTAAACCATAGTTATGATTTGTACTAGGCATGTGCTGTCCTCTATCAGATAATTACCGATAGGGGGTTTTTCAGTTTACCTTGTTTGTACTGTCGTTTTGACTTTGTGATTTATTTTGTAGGGAAGTGTAATTGTTAATAATAAATTAATATCACTGACCTCAACACAAATAATGTGAAACACTGGACATTACTAAAATTTCAATATAAAATTTACCACAATATGCAAATTTTGTGTTGTTTGTCTAAGCTGGTTTTAACATATTTCCCTGTACTCTATCAGGATCGGACTTCACAATTTATTTGGTAAATAATTAGTTATCATAATCTTACTGTACATGATATTTTTTTATATTCTATAAATTTGATAATAAAAAACAATATTAAACTCTGAGATTTTGATACGGTGTGACAAGAGTACAAAAATAATAAAAGCGTGGAATTGAATATAAAATTGAATACGTTGATAGGATATCGACGAAATATTCGAACTCGACAGAATTTGTCGAATTTAAATTATTACTTTAAAATGAATACACAATGAAAATCCAATCCGCTAAAAGGTATAAAAATAACAAAAATATAGACTATTTGTCACTGAAAAGAATCTGAATTTTCTCACCAGATTAAATATTCATCATCATCATTATTGTCCATTTCAAGTCGAGTGAAAAGGCGTTCGATACTATAGATCATCATAAAATGCTTCGAACATTGTCTGACTGCCGCATTGACTACAGATATATCGCCTTGATTAAAAGTATTTACGAAACTGCTACAGCTTGTGTCCGCCTTCATGAAGATACCAAGTAGTTTCGAATAGAACGTGGAATTAAACAGGGTGATACTATCTCCCCTAAATTGTATACAGCTGTTCTTGAATATATGTTCAAGCAAGTGGAATAATATATATATATATATATATATATATATATATATATACATATATATATATATATATACATATATATATATATATATATATATATATATATATATATATATACATATATATATATATATATATATATATATATATATACATATATATATATATATATATATATATATATATAACTGCTGCGTTAGCCTTTTTGTTTTCTGTACACCGAGCTGGGGATTGAGCGCACATCCACTGAACCACTCGCAGTGAAGCGAATGAGAACCGGCCGCCCAGCCCGCTTGGCTATCTGACCGACATGAGAGGATAATATGGGAATTAATATAAATGGGGAAGATCTGAGCCACTTAAGATTTACCGATGATATCGTTTTAATATCTGATAGAGTTAATAAATCTACAAAAATGCTGCACACGCTCTATAAAGTGTCAAAAACAATTGGTCTTAAAATTAACAGCTCAAAGACAAAATTTATGACCAACTTTGTAGTCAGCGGTAAAATTCTGATTGAGAGCCATAGCATCGATCATGTAATAGCTTACAAATATCTAGGGTATGAGATTCGCTTAGGCCGAGACAATCAGATAACTGAAATATAAAGAAGGATGGGCAGATTAAATAGCATTTTCAAGTCTATTATCCCAGTTTGTTTAAAAAGAAAGGTTTTTAACCAGTGCGTTTTACCGGTTCTTACATATGGTGCAGAAATACTGACTCTGACAAAAAGAACAATAGATAAAATAAGAGTTATACAACGCGCTATGGAAAGATCAATATTAGTTATTTTCATTAGAAATAAAGTACCAAACCTAGAAATCAGAAGAAGAACAGGAGTCACAGATGCAGTTGAAAAAATAGCCATGGCTAAATGGGCTTGGGCCGGACATGTTGCCAGATTAACAGATGATAGATGGACCAGAAAGATTCTGGAATAGCGACCAAGACAATAGGCAGAGGACGACCACCGACTAGATGGACGGATGATAGCAAGCGCATCACTACAAACTGGATGCAAGAAGTTCAAGATAGAAATAGGTAGATAATTTTACGGAAGGCCACGTTCAGCAGTGGACAAATATAGGCTAATTGATGATGATGATGACTTGGTTATACTAAAATAAAAACGCTCGCTTCTCCTAATTGTATAGATAGGTAGTTAAGTAATTGTTATGGCTAAGTTATTTTTCAAAAAGTTGATTGATGTTCTCGAAAACTTGCTCCTTCATACTTACTTCGTACTTCCTAATGAGTCAACGTAACTTGTTTTGTACAATCCAATCAAATTCTCAATAATTTCTCCAGCAAACTTGATTTCGACCATGTAAGTTTTCCCACTTTCCAATACTTCCGCCAAGGAAATTTTTATTTTAAAGTTAATTTCGTCCGTTTCGAGCGTTAGTACACGTAACGGTATATTTTCAGTTCTGTAGACGATCTTTTCAGTAACTGGTTCTGTTATAATAGTTGATGCATCGGTTAGATCAGTTACCACTTCTGTAGTTGTTATATCCTCTTCAGTTGGAAGTGTTGTATCTGTCATAGTTGTTGCAGTTTCTGTCGTAGTTTCTGCATCATCGGCAGCTCTACGAGATATGTTATGGGCTGTAGTGTTACCGGTTGGTAGCTCTGTAGTTACTTCAACCTAAAAAAAGGTAAATAAAAATAAAAGAATCCGATAATCTCAAAATGGAAAGGAGAAGAAAATATCAAAAAGAAAAACTACACAATATACTACTGAGGAGAAAACAAGCAAGGGAAAAACGATACAGCATTCATTGTTAACAATAAGAATAGGGACAAAGTTATATAATTTAAAACGATAAATGAACGAATGTTATATATAAAAATAGAAAACAAACAGGCCAATATGACAATCATAAACATATATGCACCCGCAGAAAATCCACCAGACAATGATAAAATTGAATTATATAAACAACTGGAAGAATCATATGATAGGTTACCCAGAAATGATATAGTACTAATGGTTGTTGACTTCAATGCAAAAGTAGACAAAAAAAAACAGTATAAGAAAATAGCAGAGAAAGAAACTATTCATGGCGAGACAAACGATAACGGAAGAAAATTATGCCAACTAGCAGCAATAACAAACAGTTTCATTATAAGCACAAACTTCATGCACAGAAGAGAGCATAAAGTAACATGGTTGATACCTGGCGCAACAGATGGCAATAAGATAGATCACATACTAATATCCAAAAAATGGAAAACAATAATGCACGATGCCAGATCATATAGATGAACAAACGCGGACACAGACCATTTTCTAGTAATAGGAGAAATCAAAATGAAGATAATTAAAACAGAGAAAACAAGACAAAACAAAAGAAGATGGAACCTGGAGAAGTTAAAAGTAAAGGAACTAAGAGAACAATATGAGACAACCGTAAAGGAACATCTAACAGAAGCAAACAACACAGAGGACGTATGGAAAAATATCAAATAATCCATTTTAAATTCAGCTGAAGAGGTGCTAGGACAGAGGGAAATAAAAAGAAGGAAAGACTGGTTTGATGCAGAATGCGAAATCAAAATCAAACAGAAAAAAACAAGCAAAAGATAAATGGATATCAACTAAAAAAGAACATCATCAAAACGAATATAAAGGAAAAAAAGGAAACCAACGTGTTGGAAGAACAAAAAAACTGTGAAAAGAATAGTAAAGACAGTGCCAAACTATTTGGATATCTAAAAGCTCAACAAAGAAAAGGCAGACCAGTAGTTAAAATTGACAATAGATCATGGGAAACACACTTCACAGAACTATATAGATGCAAAGAAAGACCGGAAGAGGAAGTAGGCGCAATGGAAGACATTAAAGATAATGAAATAGGGGTACCAACATATGATGAATATTTAGATATCATTAAAAAAATGAAACAGAAAAGAAAAACGGAGAAAAAAAGGTATTAACAAGCATCTATAAACTAATAGTTACAATATGGGAAGCAGAAGAAATGTCCGAGGATTGGAAAGAAGGCAGAAATAAACCAATATTTAAGAAAGGAGAAGTAACAAACTGTAACAACTATAGAGCAATAACTCTACTAAGAACAACATATAAAATTCTAACAGCCCTCATCAAACAAAAACTCAGCCAATTCACAAAGAAAAAAATTGGGGACTACCAACAAGGATTCAGAGAAGGCAGATCCACTACAGATGCGATCCACATAGTTACACAAACAATCCAAAAATGCCACGAACACAACATAGAACTTCACATCCTCATCGTAGACCTTAGACAAGCCTTTGACTGTATTGGAAAAAATAAATTATTTATTGAAATGAAAATTCATGATATACCAGCACAATTAATCAGATTAATAAAAATGACCATGGATGGAGCTCGAGCTAAAGTAACAACAGAATAAGGTAGCACAAAATCAATTGCAATAGAAACAGGAGTGCGAAAAGGCGATTCCCTGTCAACCACATTATTCAACATAGCAGTAGAAGGAACAGTCAAGGCCAGCAAAATTAAATGAACTATAGCCCACTCCTCAACACAAATAGTTACATATGCAGATGATTTAGTTCTTATGGGAGGAGACCAGGAAAGATTAAAAGAAGCAGTAACAATCCTGGAAAAAGAAGCACGAAAAAGCGGTCTAGAAATTAACTAAGGAAAAACAAAATATGTACTCTGCTCTAGAAGAGAAGATAACAGAACGAGAGAAATCAAAATAGAAAACTACACTTCTGAAAGAGTCCAACAATTGAAATATTTGGGAGTAATAGTGAATGGCCAAAGCAAGAAAAGTGAAAAAGTAACGGAACGAATACTAACAGGCAACAAAACATACTGAAGATATCATGGGCTTATGAAGGACAAGAACTTATCCAGAAATACAAAACTGAAAATATACAGAGTTGCAATCAGACCAGTAGTTACGTACGAAGCTGAGACAATGTGCCTCACGGAAAAAGATGAAGAAAAATTGAGAATTTTGAAAGGAAAATCCTCAGACGGATTATGGGCTCGATGAGAATACACAAGAGAGAAATGAGACGAATAATATACCTTGAACTAAAAGACATAATGAAGGTAGAACATGCAGTTAGATTTATTAAAGCACAGAGGTTGAGATGGCTGGGACACAACAACTGAACAACAAAACAACAACTGAAAGACCAATGGGAAGACCCAGAGAGAGATGGGAGGACCAGGTCATGAAAGATATCCAAATTCTGGAAGTTAGAAACTGGAGGGAACTATGCACACATCGAAATGAGTGAAAGAAAATTGTAACAAAAGTCAAGTCATACAACAAACTTTGACAACATACAAGTGGAATGCAGAGTGATTTACCGCAATAAGCGAATCAGCGAGCTCTGAGTCTTCTTCTTTCAGTGCCTATTCGTTCCGAATATTGGCAATAATTCTGGCTATAATTATTTTATTAACTGATGCTTTAAATAGATTCGTTGTTGTTGTGGAGAACCATTTCCTCAGGTTCTTCAACCATGATATTCTCCTTCTCCCAATTCCTCGCTTTCCGAATACTTTACCCTGTAGGATTATCTTCAGTAATCTGTATTTAGTGCTGTTTTTCATTATATTTTCGAGATATTCCAACTTTCTCCTTTTAATGGTATACATCACCTCTCTTTCTTTGCCCACTCTTCGTAATACGGTCTCGTTGGTTATCTTGTCTGTCCACGATATCCTTAGAATTCGCCTGTATAGCCACATCTCGAAGGCTTCAAGTTTTTTCTCCATTGCTTCAGTTAGTGTCCAGGATTCAACTCCGTAATACAATATTGAGAAGATATAACATCGTAGGAGCCTTACTTTTATCTCCAGATTAAGATTGTGGCTTTTAAAGAGTTTGGAGATGTTATTGAATGCACTCCTAGCCTTCTCTATTCAACATTTTATTTCCTGTGAGTGATCCCATTGTCCATTTACTGTTGTTCCAAGATAGTTATACTGTTTTACTCGGTCCACTGGTGTATTATTGATAAGTAGTTGAGCGTCTCTAACTTTATTTTTGCTGATGATCATAAATTTAGTTTTTGTTATATTTACTTGAAGTCCAAATCTTTCACTTACTTCATTTACTTTGTTTATTAGTTGCTGTAAACTGTTCAAACTGTCTGCAAAAATAACGGTGTCGATCTTAATCATCCATTTGGGCTTTTGTTAGAATATCCATCATTTTTTGGTGTTGAACTGTATCAAATGCTTTTTGGTAGTCCACAAAGCAGGTGTAAATATCGCAAGTCATATCTCTGCATCTTTGAAATAATACTTGTAGACTAAACAGTGCATCTCTTGTACCTACGCCTTTCATGAATCCAAACTGTGTGTCTTGTATTCTCTCTTCGCATAGCTTGTATATTCTACGATGTATAATTTTAAGAAAAAGTTTTAATGTATGGCTCATTAGACTTATTAGCCTATATTCTCCGCACTTTTTTGCTCCCTGTTTCTTTGGTAAGGTAATAAATTCTGAAAGTAGCCAATCCTTTGGGATATTGCCTGTGTCATAGATATTATTGAAGATTTTACATAGTAGGTACTCTTAAATATTCATCATCAAGAAGTTTAAGAAATTCAGATTGTACTCCGTCTGGTCCTGGAGCTCTACCTTCTTTTAGTGATATTATGGCTGCTCTTATTTCTGCCACTAGTATAGGTGGTCCTGTTTCCGTAGGTATTGGGGGCTGGTTCTCTCTCTCATCAAAAAATAAATTTCTTATGTAATTTTTCCAGGTATCATTGATACTCTCTTTGTCCACGAGCTCTGAGTAAGAGCGGAAAACATTTCCACCTAGAATAAAAAGCCCTGATGATGATGAATATCAAAATCAAACGTGGGGTCCGACAGGGATGTATACTATCACCCTTGCTGTTTAACATATACGCTGAGGAAATCTTTCAAGAAGCAATAGAGCATGTTAAAGCCGGAATTCGAATGAACGGATAATGTATCAATCACATCAGATACGCGGACGACACGCTGGTACAAAGATATGAACTTTATCTTTGAGAACATACGATCTCTACCTGGCGAATACCGTCATTATGTTAGAATTTATAATGATCTCTAAGCAGGAACAGCAAATTGAAAGAATCAGTATGAATGGTCAGTCAATAGAAAGAGTAAAAACATACACCTACCTTGTCAATGTCAATGAAAATTGGGTTCATTCCCTAGAAAACTAATGTAGGATAGAGAAAGCAAGATCTGCATTTAAAAAAATGGCTTAGTTTTTCAAATGCCATGATTTATCAGTACCCATAAAAATCAGGTTTACAACGTTATATCTTTCCTATACGGTTGTACAAAGCTGAGTCGTCGACTCTCACAGACACTACCTGCAAGAAAATTAAGGCTTTCGAAATGTGACTTTACCGTCGAATGATGAAAATATCCTATACCGACCACGTTACTAACCAAAACGTTTTATTAAGAATGCAAAGAGAAAAAAATGATGTAGAAAGAAATGTAAGGAACAGAGAAAGATATGGGTTGATTAAATTATTTCTACAAGGAAAACTAAAAGGAAATCGATGACCGGGAAGGCGAAGAATTTCCTGGAAGGACCACAACCACAAAGCCGTAAACCTCAGAGCAGCAGTTTGCATGATACAGATTGCCATGATAGTTGCCAACATCCGAAACGGATAGGCACTACAAGAAGAAGAATGTTTCTCATACCACTAAAACTATGAATGGTAACAGCATATTAAATTATCAATAGTTAACAGAAAATTTGAATGCAAAGTTATCAAACAACTTGATAACTAGTACAAGTGGTTTTAAACAACTTCAATCGACGCAATAGAATGCCCAAAGAGAACAAAGGAAACCCAAGTCTACTCCAATGAATCTTAGAAGAAAAAAGCTGAAGACGATTATATAGATACTGATTGACAGTATCCAATCTCTGACTGAAGAAACAGCTCTACAACATAGCTAGGGTGAATGAGTCATGACTTAGTACCTAATTGTAAAGTGGTGAAATAAATCATAATATCTTTTTTCTTTTAATGAGAAATCCTTAATGATATGAGTAGGGTATTCATCAGCTAAATAACATTATAGATTTCAAGAATATTAATTTTTAAAGAAAAAGTTGCATAGCAAAAAATCGAAATCATGCTCTGGACGGAGACTTTGTATAAATACCAAAACAATTTTCGAAGTACAAAGGGTGATGGTTAGTTTAAAAATATTTATTAGCGTTATATAGTAAATATTAGCGTTAAACAAAACTGCTAACAATATCGAAAAAAGTATAATTGCCAAATCTATTACAGATGTGTGTAGTGAAACTAAGTATTCCTGTTATAAAGAGAATAAAACAGCAATTTCAATTAAAAATAAATCAATAGAAAACAACATTGTGTTTACAAAAGCAGACAAAGGTAACACTACTATTGCTATAGATAAAATAGAATATAATAACAAAACAATAGAATTCTTAAATAATCAAAATATTGAAACTTTACACAAAGATCCGACAGAAAAATATCAAAAAAAAAATAAGCTAGCGTTAGAAAATTCAAAATCAATACTAAATCCAATAGAACAGAAATACCTCAGTATCATGAACCCACAGCCTCCTAAATTATATTCTTTCATTAAACTACACAAACCGGATCACCCAATAAGACCTGTAGTTTCTTTTTATACAGCTCCGTCATATAAAATTTCAAAAAAACTGTTAGAAATTATTTCAGACCACACTAAATTTTCACCTAAATTTACCATAAAAAATACAATAGAACTAGTTAATAAAATACAACATTTTCAATTACCTAACAACTCCAGATTAATTTCATTTGACGTAAAAAATCTATTTCCTAGTATCCCTCCTACAGAAACTTTTATTCTAGTAAAAAACCTTTTAGACCAAAATAGTACAAATCCAATAATTACATCTGAAATTTTACATCTTCTTGAAGTTTGCATAAACCAGGACTACTTTGAATTTAATAATAAAATTTATACAAATAACAGTGCAGGACTTATAATGGGTAATCCTCTAAGCCCATTTCTATCAGATATTTTTATGGATCATCTAGAGACAAAGATTTCAAAACATCCCGTATTCAAACAGTTTTTATATTGGTGGAGATACGTAGACGACGTACTGGTATGTTTCACAGGAACTAACAGGCAACTCGACCAATTTTTATCATATATTAATTCACTTCATAGTCCTATTCAATTTACAATAGAAACAGAACAAAATCAATCGATAAATTTTTTAGATTTAAAAATTAGCAGACTTCAAAACAAACATGACTTCTCCATATTTCATAAACCTACCCATACTGACACGACTATACACAATTCGTCATCCCATCCAACACAACATAAACTGGCAGCTTATCATAGTATGTTACATACATTAACAGAAATTCCTATGTCAAAATACAACTTTGAGACAGAATTAAATATAATTAAGCAGATAGCAGTAAACAACGAATACAACGAACAAACAATTAATAAAATGTTAAATCAAAAACTACACAAGAAAGCCCTGAAATTAGTATTTCCACCACCAGAGAAAAAACTCAGTACCTTCTGCTCGATTACATATACAGGCAAAATAACAACAAAAATTGCCAAACACATAAAAAAGAAAAGAATAACACCAGCTTTCCGAACAAATAACAACCTAGGCAAATATATTAAAAATAACAAGAGCTAAAATAAAACACACTTAAATAGTGGTGTGTAAAAACTTGAATGTGGCGACTGCCCAAAAACTTACATCGGTCAAACTGGTAGAAACTTTGATAAACGAATAGCAGAACATAAAAGGGCTTTCAAGAATAGAAAAACAGATTCGACATACGCACTTCACCTTCTAGATCATAATCATTCTTTTAATGACAAATTTAAAATTCTTCACATTCAAAATAAAGGCCTTAAGCTATCTTTGTTAGAATCTATGGAAATCAACAGATTAAAAAACACAGATATAATTCTGAATGACCAACTTGAGACAAACACTTCTCCCCTCCTCAACCTATTTCATTAGAGACTATAAATTTGTAAACCCAAGCCAAAATAGATCACTTGAGAAAGGCAATCAGCCGAAACAGCTGTAGTGATAATATTTCAAATAAATTTTGTGGAAGTTTGAAAACAAAGTTTTCAGTGTTTTATTGTTACATAATTGTAAAGTGGTGAAATAAATCAGAATTTCTTTTTCCTTTTAATGAGAAATCCTTAATGATATGAGTGAGTAGGGTATTCATCAACTAAATAACATTATAGATTTCAAGAATATTAATTTTTAAAGAAACAGTTGCATAGCAAAAAATCGAAATCGAGCTCTGGATGGAGACTTTATATAAATACCAAAACAATTTTCGAAGTACAAAGGGTTATGGTTAGTTTAAAAATATTTACCTGTTTCGTGGTATAAACTTTAATATCGGATTCGGAAATATTTAAATCATCTGCGTGAAGTATGATTTTATTCGTATCCTCAATGCAGTTGACTTCTATTATGACACGTCCAGTAAAGGTGAAGTTTTTCTCACTGTGTTCGTCTAAAACGGGATGAACCCACAGTCTATAATGCAGAGGATATAATGCTTTTGGTAATCGCAGAGCTTCTTTCGTCGCTTCTTCGTTTATTGTGTCGTTTATTAACTTTTCTATATCATTCGATTCTTTAATTATCTGCAACAAACATTTTAAAAGACATCAGTATAAGATCCATGGAGATATTATAAATGTTTTATTAATCTTAGTATTTATGTATTTTATTTATATCTGTATCTATTTAGAACAAAATGTTTCATATTTTTAGAGTTTTCCCAATGAAATCTGCACCAAAAACAGGTGAAGATATATACACTATATACATTTTATCATTAGTATAACCTACCTATCTAATCTAATAAAACCTGTGACACGAAAACGCAGTTTTTCCGGAACGATTACTCCTAGCGCCACCTAGGAAAGATATCTAAACTACCGTATTCTAAACTACTAACTATCTAAATATTGTTTATTAGAAAGCATTAAACCAATTTAACTTTTTTTATAGAATATTTTGGAGTATTTTTCTTTTTTTTTTAATTTTTAAGTAATTACTATTTAAATGGGAATAAGCCTCAATTAAAGGTTAAAATAAGTTTATTGACTTTTCAATTGACGTATTATGTAAACTCGAAATGGAAAAGTCTAATAAAATTAAACAAAACATTGTCGTCCGGAGGCGTGTCAGTCGGGAGCTGACAGCCGGGCCGAACACATCAGGAAATTCGGAGATTGGTCCAAATACTTGGGAATTCCAAGTTTGGCCAAATCCGAATTTCTGATTGGCTCGATGCGGAGAAAATTCCGCTTTTGCTGTATAAAACAAAGGATTTGTTTTACAAAAAAGCAGGTGGATTTTCTCTCATCGGTCAGTCCAGCTTGCCTCTTCTACTGTAGACCTAGTCGGTGCTATTATTGTTCCGACTAAGCTATTGTTTTATTTCTGATTTCCTGCATACCATTTCTTTTATTTCAGCAGTATTGTATATTCAGACCTTGTCAGGTTAGAATATTACATATTTGTTCATGTACTGATTGGTTGCTATTTTATTTGATTATTTTGATTGTTTATTTTCTTGTATTTTTATCTAAGCTGTTCTTCCGTAAGTTAAGAACACTTAGAAATATTTATCTTGCCTTTTTTTTATTTTATATATTTGATTTTGTGCTTTGTATCTAAGTAGTTCTTTTCGGTAAGTCAAAGAACACTTAGAAATATTTTCATATCGCATCATTATTCCTGATATTTTATCTAAGATATTTTCTTTCGTAAGTTAAGAAAATACTTATATATTTGTCTATTTCATTTTCCATTTTATGCTAAGTTTCTTCCGTAAGTCAAGAAACGCTTAGCAATATTTTCACATCTTTTCTGTATTTGATTTTCTTGTTTTCTATTATAAGTTGTTTCATAAGTTCCATAAGCCAAGAAACACTTATAAATATTTGTGCATTTATCTTACTTATTTATTTTCTGTTCTAAGTTGTTTCTTCCGTAAGTTAAGAAACACTTAGACGTATTTCTGTAATCTGTTTCATTTTTGCATTTCTTGTTTTATACTTTATTTTTCATTTCTAAGTCGTTTCTTCCGTTTGTCAAGAAATATTTCCATATTTTATTCTCACACTTGCATATTTCATTTTTCTATATTTCTGTCCTAAGTTGTTTCTTCCGTAAGTCAAGAAACACTTAGGAACATTTCTCTTGCATTATATTTTTTATACCATTTTGATTTACTTGTTTTACTAAGTTATTCCTTCCGTAAGTCAAGGAATACTTAGATTATTTTTACCTATCTGTTTTCCATCTTTGCTCTGCTTCCTTGTTCCTACTATCTGTTATAGGTAACTGTTCCTTAGAACCGTTACCTATAACAGATATTTCTCACTGGAACTGTTATTTATAACAGCAGTGGTATTTAACCCTTATACCAGCGGCAAATCAGAGATGGTCAATACCCGTTCAAATTCCGGGGATAGGAAGAAGCCCGAAGAGCCGACGATGGGTCCTACAGGCCCAAATGCCCCCTCTCGGCAACAACATAAGCAAAGAGGAACTAAAGGCAATAAGAACTTTAAAAATTGACGGCTCCATAATCATCCTACCAGCAGACAAGGGGAATGCAACTGTGATATAGGAACGTTTTCCGAAGTGGAAATTGAAACGTCAATAAACGTACTTTAACCTTTAATTGTGGCTTATTTCCATTTAAATAGTAATTACTTAAAAATGCCACAAGAAAATAGCTTCAGAACAATAATTTAATTTTAAGTTATTGAACTTTCTCATATTATTAGCTATATCTAACAACAACCATCTTGATTTTATATAGGAGAAAATCACCAAATACGGAAATCTTGAAAAACTTGGAAGGAGAATACCTATATAGAAGAAAAATACCCCGACGAGAACCGTAATTCTGCCAACTACTGGTGTCATTTTGAAGATCCTCTTATATCTTTTTCGGTATTTCAGTAAACATAACTATATTGACATACAAATTCCTTACAAATTAAATACCACTGTAAAATATAATTCGTGCCACGGGGTTAAGTGTTTTATGCTTAAACGCTCGCGACCTTTAAAATATAAGGTAAACATCCTATCAACGATCTTAGACAATTTTTTACCAAGGTATTCTTTTTTAACGCTTACCTTGATTATTATAGTTTAGTAAATACTACTTTTAGGTACTTGACTTAAAATTAATTAATATAAAAGAAAGTAGAATACAATATTACATCCCACCAAGAAGTTTGTATCTAATAAAAAACAATATAATTTAATAAAAATGCTTTAAACAGAAATATATTGGTAAAGTGAAAAATATGTAACGTATTCTACAAAACCTTTCAAAAACAAATAAAATAAGCTTCTTCTTTAGACGCCGGCCGTCTCTATTACTGAAGGTTAGCAGTAATTACGGCAAATTGATCTCTTTTTTGCATTCTCTCTCCTCTCAGTACTCATGATTCTTTTTTCCTTATTTAAACGCTATCCCCCCTTCTTCTTCTTACGGCGCCTTATCCTTAAGGACGTTGGCCATTACATTTGCCCATTTAATCTTATTTGAAGCAGCCCTGAATAGTTCTATGGAGGTCATGTTCGTCCATTGCCGTAGGTTTTTAAGCCAAGAGTTGCGTCTTCTTCCTGGTCCTCTTTTGCTATTGACTTTGCCCTCAATTATAAGTTGGAGCAGTTCATACTTTTGATTTCTTATGATGTGACCAAACTATTGTATTTTCCGTTCTTTTATTATAAGCATAAGCCCTCTTTCCTTATTCATCCTCCGCAAGACTTCCGCATTTGTCGTATGGCTCATGTAGGATATTCTGAGCATTTTACGGTAACACCAGAGTTCGAATGCTTGGATTCTTTTTTGTGTTGCCCAGCTGGCGGTTGCATAGAACTTTTTGCATTTTGTAAAACATTGTACGTGCCTTTTCCAGGCATATTCTTGTCTCTAGTGGGTGTTCCCAAGTTTCATCAAGATTACTTCCAAGGTACGTTGTTCTTGTTACTCTTTCCAGATCTGTTCCGTCGACATTGACCTTCACCCTTCTGTTTTGGTGCTTGCTGATGACCATCGTTTTTGTCTTCTTTGTATTCAATTTCATTCCAAATTCTCTACAGGCTGTCGTTACTCGATCCATTAAGCATTGCAGGGCTTCAGCATTATCTGCCAGTATGACAGTGTCATCAGCATATCGCAGGTTATTTATACATTGCCCGTTTATAATTATACCATCCAAGGTGCCTTCCAAAGCTTTCTGAAATATCTTCTCAGAGTAAACATTGAACAGCAAAGGTGATAGGACACATCCCTGTCTTACTCCCTTCTCGATATTGATTTTTCCAGATGTTTCGCTTTTTATTCTGATTTTAGCCTTTTGTTCTTGGTAAAGTTTTGAAATAATCCTTAAGTCTTTATCGTCGATATTACATGACCTTAAAATATCTATTAGTTTATCATGTTTCACCAGGTCAAACGCCTTCTGAAAGTCTATGAAACACAAGTATACATCAGAATCGACATCTCTACATCTTTCAACTAGCACACGTATTGAAAAAAGTGCTTCTCTTATTCCGAACCCATTCTTAAAACCAAACTGAGTTTGACCAGTGTGTTCGTCTAGTTTATTGTATACTCTATTGTGTATTACTCGTAGGAAAAGCTTCAACATATGATTCATCAGGCTAATAATCCTATGGTCTTCACATTTCTTGGAGTTTCTCTTCTTTGGTAGTGGTATAAACACCGATGTCAGCCAATCATTTGGTATTATGCCTGTTTCGTATATTTTGTTAAATAAATCTTCCATTACTTCGATGTGTTCGTCTAGTAATATCTTTATTATTTCAATTGGAATATTATCTTCCCCAACAGCTCTTCGTTCTTTATCTGATTTGCCGCTTTGATAATTGCTTGCTTTTTGATATAAGGTCCAGCCGATGCCTCCTGCATGTAAATGTTCGTCCTCTCTCGGTCTTGAAACATCTCTTCCACGTATTCTCTTCATCTACCTATTTGATCTTCTATGTTCAGTAGTGAGTTTCCATGTTTATCTTCGATGAAAGACGTAGGAGTTTGTTTAAATATTCCAGCGGCTTCTTTTACTTTTTTATGTAGATTGAAAGTATCATGTCTTTGTTCCAACTCTTCAATTTCTTGGCATCTTTCACTTAGCCAGGTTTCTTTGGCTTATTGGATCTTTATTCTAATATTCTTGTGTATTTGCTTGTATGTTGTTTCATTTTTACCTCTGTATTTTCTTCTTTCGTCCATCATGTTTAGAATTTCTTCTGTCATCCATGGTTTGTTCTTTTTTCGTGTATCTTATTTGAGGTAGTCTTCTGTTACTCTTGTAAGTGTTTTCTCAATATAGTGCCAGTCTTCCTCGGGAGTTTGTGTCGATTGTACTATTCGGTTACTCAAGTATCTATGTATTTCTTCCCGTATTTTATTACTAGTGGATTCTTCTTTAAGCTTATCTGGGTTAATAACTATTATTTGCTTATTTCTTTTTGTTCTTTTAAATTCTATCCTAATTGTTGCAAGAAGAAGATTGTGGTCGGTGGAGATGTCATCTCCGGGGTATGTCTTGCATACTTTTACTGCGTTTTTGTATCTTTCCCC